TTCCAAAGCTGTAGATACTTGATCGAAAACAACTCGCTAAAGAAAAAGTACAGAAATACCGAAAAGAAAGAGATAGCAAATCGTACCCGGGAAAAGGTCGTATCGTGACCCAGAAAATCCCAACTATAGTGAAACCACGTGTATAAAGCGAGAGACGAAGACGATAGACGAGCCAACATGGAGGTAATAAGGAATCATAGAAAAACGGAGAATTGGATAAAACATAACATACCTGAGAAATCATGTCGAAAAATGCTGTATTAGGCCTGACCGATTCTGCAGGAGGGGTAGGGAAAAAAACATGGCAAAATCCAGTGGTGTAAAAAAGGCTATCAAATCGTTATGAGCCTGAACAGGTTTAACTTGTTCAGGAGGATTAGTGGGACACGTGCAGGAGAAAAAGGTTGACCCATATAACGATCAATCTCACGATGGATAATAGCAGAGAAATCCAACGACGGGTCTCCCCCACTTGCAGCCTGTGAAAATAGTGCTAGAGGTATGATACCCGAAGTGGGAACACGAATTCATTGTAGAAATACGCAAGTCAAACAAAAGTGTTTGATGTAAAATATGCGAGTGAGAGAAAAAAAAAAAATGACCGTGAAATTAAGGTAAATCAAAAGATTTCCTCAATGTAATGAAAAAAATAATAATGAAGAAATTCCACTTCAGAAATTAAACTCTTAAAATCACGATTCACACTGAATAGCACCAAAAAGAAAGAAAAAAAAAAGTCTGAACACGATTACTGCCAAACGAGAAGTAATAGTTTTGTAGAATTAAATAGAGGGAGTCACATGAGTCATGAGAGTATGTCGCACACTTATTGATGGAGAGTTGACGCATGATGATTTGCATGAGAGACACATTGGAATCAGACAATTCCAATAGAGGGGAGATAGAAGGCTTATGGCATATGTAAATGTTTTGCATATAGAGGACAGCATTAAACGTGAATAGCTATTTATATGAGCGAGGTAATGTACTGTATCGGAACCTGTAACTGCACGTAGAAAAACATTAAAGGGCAGCTAATTACGAACTTGTAATGATAGATAGAGACACTTTAACTGATAGCTGGCTACCGAAGCGTTAATGACACTCGGAAATATTAAATGATAGCTAGTTACCGAACCTAGAGACACATTAACTGACAGCTGTTTATCGAATATATATTGACATTTATAGACACGTTAATTTACAACTAGTTACCAAACCTGTAATGACACTTAAGAGACATTTTAACTAGCATCTAACTAACGAATAATTTATGACACTTAGTGACACATTAACTGATAGTTTGTTACCAAACATGAAATGAAATTTAGATACAACTCAACTGACAGCTAGTTAACGAACCTTTCATGACACTTAGAGAAATATTAGCTGACAGCTAATTACCGAACCTATAATGACACATTGAGACACATCAATTGTCAGCTAGATACAGAGCCTGAAATCACATTTAGATGTTTGTTTGAATTTATGCACAAAGCTACACAATGGGCTATCTGTGCTCTGCCCACCACGGGTATCGAAACCCGGTTTCTAGCGTTGTAAGTCCGCAGACATGCCGCTGTGCCACTGGGGGGCGAAATCACATTTAGAGACATGTCAAATGACAGCTAGTTACCGAGCTGTAAAAATATTTAGAGACATATTAACTGACAGCTACTTACCGAATACGAAGTAAAACTTTGACACACATTAAATGTCAGTTTTCGAACCTCTAATAACACGTTACCTTAATTCTAGTCACCAAACTTGGAGACACATCAACTAGCATTTAGTTAGCGTAGCTTTAATGACACTTACAGATACATTATCTGATAGTTTGTTACTAACATTAAATGGCTCTTAGAGACACGTTAACTGATAGTTTGTTACTAACATTAAATGACTCATAAAGACACGTTAACTGATAGTTTGTTACTATGTAAGAAATGACATCTAGAGACACCTTAACAAACAAATAATTAACAAGCCACAAGTCTTTAATAATATTTAGAAACACATTACCTGACAGCTAGTTATCAAACATGCAATGAAACTTATTGGAAACTTAACTTACAGCTGCGTATCGAACCCGTAATGACATTTAGAGACACATTAAATGTCAGTTAGTTAACGGACATGTAATGACACATAGAGACACATTAACACCTAGTTACCAAAGCTTTAGTGAGACTTAGAGACACATTAAGTGATACGTTGTTATAAAATGATACATATTTATACCTTAACTAACGGATAGTTAACGAAAATGAAATGAAACTTAGAGGCACACTAACTGGCATATAATTATCGAACATGTAATGACACTTAGAGAGACATTAGCTGGCACTAGTTAACAAACTCTAATGACATTGAGAGACACATTAATTGAGAGCTAGTTACCGAACCTGTAATGAAACTCAGAGATGCATTAACTGAAAGCTACGTATCGATCCTGTAATAACACTTAGCGTTATGTTAAGTGAGAATCAGTTACCCAACCTGAAAATGACACTTTGAGACAAATTAACTAACAGCTAGTTACTGAACCTGTATTGACATTTAAAAACACATTAAATAATACTTCCTCATCGAACTTTTCACGACACTTAAAGACGTATTAACTGACAGCTAGGTACCGAATTTGAAATGACTCTTAGATACAAAATACCCTGACAGTTAGTTATTAATTTGCAATGACACTTATTGATTACTTAACTGACATCTAGTTATCGAACCTGTAATGACATTTAGAGAAACCTAAAATTAAAGTTAGTTAAAGAACCTGTGGTGAGATTTAGAGTTACAGTAACTGACAGTTTGTTATCGAAACTGTAATAACACTTAAGAGAATATAAAATGAGAGCTACCACACTTCTAATGACATTTAGAGATATATTAATTGACAGTTGGTTACCAAAACTGAATTGGTACTTAGAGTCACATTAAAACTTGCTGAATTAGCAAAACAAAGTATAACAGCAAATATTAATCAAAAGAGAACATTTTCTTTAAATATCACAGTCAACTGAACACTGGCTATTGATAAGAAAATTAAAGCATAAGTACAAAGCTTTCATTAGCTGGTTAGTACATTATGTTGCCACTGACAGCTTTATTGACAGTTGGTTGATTCAGATATCAATTATTCACTCAGTGAAAGAATCTAACAGGGTGCCAAGGCAACAGAGGAAAAGACAGAAGCCAAGTATGATTACAGTAAAGACTCATCAAGATAGTAAAAAAAGGAGGAGACTCAAAGAGTTTGGAAAATTAAAAAAAAAAACAATGATGCAAGTGTTCACAAATGTGCTAAAATGGGATTGGATGAAGTAGCTTACTTAGAAGGAAAAACAAATACTTGTTCAAATTGAATATAGGTCAAGAAGATTGTTCACTATGTTTAGTTCAAAGAAAAATAACTGACTACCAAATGCACAAGGAAAATAGAAACTGCATTTCAAAAGTTGAAAGAGTTAGACGAAAAACAAAACTAACGAAGGTGAAGGATTATAACTTAACACAGAAAATAAACAAGTCTTTCAAGTGGTGAGTAAGGCAAGTTTAAAGAAACTACTTGTGCCATCTAGTGTCCAAAATTACTATTGTAAAGTACTGTAGAAGAAAAAAAAGAAGGTTGTTCAGAGAAAACTTCTAGGAAAATTAACCAAAAAGTGGTCCATACAGTTAGTTATTTAATTGTTTTGTTTACATAATTTGATCTGAATTTGTTTTTTAAATTGATCCTTCAACAAACCTTTTCTATATTATTATATTGATTACTTACAATATTACATCAATGGTGAAAATTTTCAATTTCATCTTATTACTTAGTTTTGAACTATAACAAAATATTAATTTATGACACTGTTTTACCATTATATAAGGCTGAATAACATTATGTTTGTCAAAGTAATGCCCAAAACTTGCACAAGATTTACCACAGTTTCTTGTGATTTTTTTATCTTGACCTTTCACTTTATATTTTCATAAAGCTACGCACAAACGTACAATAAAAACATAAGATATAAATTATTACAGGTTTTAATAACATTATCTAATATTCTAAACTTTAAAAGGTACCCTATGTAAGTAATGAATTTAATGTGTAACTTGTATGTATTATAATTCTTTTAGTCACCTACTTACAGTTCAAATTTCTTACGAATCTGAAGACTAACAATATTTCAAAAAGTTTCAGCTATAATAAGTAAATATGATTAAAAATGGGAGATACTACTTCCTGTGATATAGTACAAGATGAAAATGGAAAAATCTTACAAGAAATTATGAGTTTAGACTGAATCTTTATTTAAATGTACAATAACTGTTTTATACATTCTTTCAGTTCTGTAATCAAAACATGTAAAAAGTACCACAACAGTTTTGTAGAGAAGAGAAACATGAATTCCATGAGAAAGCCAGAAATTTAAACGAATGTTTCAAGATTGTTAAGTGAAACTGCTATCTTAAAAAAAGTGTACTGTTAACGTTAAACAGTAAAAATGTTTGTATAATCTGGTAAGTAATATGTTCTAATTTCAAATTATTGCAATAACCTTATACCAGATAAACAGCACTATATTACACCTATTATAGCAATCATGAAACATACAACACTAAAGTACAAGTGGAGGCAACTAATGATTTGAAGTATAATAAAGAGAAATGCATGACCATATGTGCAGCCAGTTTTACTCTATTACTCAACCCACAAATATCTGTTCAAATTTCTTTACCCGATTGACATTATTTTTGTTCTGTTATAAACGTCTTTTAAGCTGAATTATATTTTTCTAATCAGAAGTACATGGATATCTTCTAACTTTCTACTTAAATCTCAAAATGTAATTTTCACTAATCTAGTGTTAGTAAGCTCAGTATTAATTATACTTTCTCTTAAGTTAACAACAAAGTAATTACATACTTTCATTACTTTTTCAGTTTGTACTTGTACCAGATCTGACTTAAAAGCTCTTGAAAAACTATCATCAATTCTATGTTTTAGTATTGCTCAATCAGAAAAAAAAAAAAAGTTGTTAAATATATTATAGAGAATTTGTATTTATGACACGACCAGAAAATGTCAATCTCACTTCTGTTAGTATACAGCTCAGCATTAGTTTATGAACATACAGTCAGTTTGAATTCTTTCTTTCATCATAACAGCTTTTATTAGTTAGCATGATACTCAAAGGATGTTCATTGCTGCCTGACATAATAGTAGTGGGAACAATAAGGTGCTCCTCTTGTGATAGTATCCTTTCCTCTATTGCACTAAAAGCAAGTTGAGAAGGAAGATCAGTTTGTTGGATTGGACACCAGATAGCTGCAGATATTGTACTGGGAAGCTCCATCCAGTAAGGAAAGAACTGTCCACACAGAGCCACAGTCGAACAGCTACTAGGGCCAGAACTACAAGCTACATGAGAGTATAGTATGGGATGGAAAATCACAGTACCAGTCAAGATTTCTATAGTACGGTACCACAAATACATTATATTTACAAAATGTTAATTCTTCATCTATAATGATAATTACAGAGGTATTATATTTATTTGGAAGGGTATATGGTATATCCATAAAATAATTCATTAGTCTTCATCTAAATGTAACAATTCTGGGTTAGTCACATTAGTGTTTGTGTGTATGTATTTATGTATATACGGTTTCATCCTTTAACTTTCTGGTTCACTGAATATCAACACATTACCTTATTACATATAGTTAAATGGTTCTCATTTTCTCGTGTTGTTGTAATTAAATGACAAAGTGTGTATATAAGAATACTGGGGATATCAACACACTAATTTTCAACTAGCAGCAGTAATCCTTTTTTCCCAGCTGATTCTTCAACACTGTAACCTAGGTTGTAGTACTGATAGATATTAAACAGAGGCAGTTGAGAAGTGAATCTATCTGTACCCACTACCAATTCAATTACAAAGCATTTTGTTTTAAACAGTACCAAATGTAACAACCCCTTCATTACAGGTGACCAACATATATCTTGCACCTTTTTTAACTAACCAAGGCAAACAAACCCAATTTCATAACCTGAATATGTTATATATTCTAGTAATGAAATCAAATTCTTGCACAAATGCTTGTTTTCTCACTTCCAAATGATTGTAATTTTTAAACTTTAGTGTAGTTTAACTACAAATAATTCACATGCAATACTTTCTTTTTATTAACAAATTACTTAAATAACAGGTTTTTTTTCCACCAACACAAAAAAGAGCAACAAAACTTTAAGTGATTTTCAAACAAGGCTTAGGCAACAAAGTGTAAAATAAACATGCTTCCAAATAATACTAACAACAATGAAAAGCATGCATAAATAAAAATGAACAAGTCCACTTTTTCAGGCTTTCAGTGGGTTAAGTTTTCATCACAAACAACTCTATAAAAGTAATCCTTAATAAAGACAGAACTCTCTAAAACTCTGGACCAGAGTGTTGTTTTTTTCTCACCTAAGGTATTTGTTTTATTTTCACTTCTAGAACCATGTTTTTCAATGTATAGTTGTGGACCTTTTGTTTCTTAAACACTGTTTGTAAGTGTATATTAGTTTTACACTGAGAAGTCATATTTTTTTCTAGTAATATGGGTATATGGATTATAAAATTTTCTCAACTTACAAATAGAACTCATATTCTTGTAAAAACTTACTATGTTGTTAGAGTCTGAAGTTTTTGGAGAAAGCAAATTTATTTTTGGTTTTGGCAGATTGAATAAAAATTTATATATGAATCAAATATTTGATACCAACAATTATTTGTTGCTGTACTATCCACAGTAACCATTTTTCATCAATCATATGTGTAATTAATACACTTTAAAATTATGAAATCCTTATATTAAAAGTACTGAAGAGAGTTTATGCCCAAATTATACCTCACTGTAAAAATCTAGTGTCAATGCATGAGAAAAACAAATTTGAATAAATATCTTAAGGTGATAACCAAACTGTTATAAATACTAACTGTATAATAGTTTTACATTGTGCAAAAAAATAGAAAATTAACAGTTTGATTCACATTTTAATTACTAATAAATTATAAAAAGATGGCAGGGTGCATACTGATCAATACTCTAGTACTTTTCTGCAAGCAAGTTTCCCTGTGATTTATGTAAAATCCAAAAGTAATACTATAAAGTAACAACCAAATAACACACAAACTCACACCCAATCCATAGCAATTAATGTTTTATTTGTCCTATTTTCATTCATCACATTTATAAAAACAATGATGGAAATGAAATCTGAATGGAAAATAAACTAATGGCAATGGTTTCGGACAGTGGAGAAGGCTGGACACATTAAAAAAAGCCAGCTGTATAATGAAATAAAGGTGAAGCTGCTAAGAACTGACATTCAAACTTAATAAGCAGCCAATCAGCCAACTACGTACAGCCCAAACAAGGAGTCTCATTTAGCCATTTCAGGATCCATAAGATGGATGGAATATATCCATTATCTAATGTTAGGGTTTGATACCTTTTGATGCATAGCTGGCCTCCCCAGAGAAGTTGATGGCAGTGGATATGGCTTCTTGTGTCCATTCAGTGGACTGTTGAAATTTTGAAGCAGAATTGCTACGATGACCATCTTGACTACACTGAACAAGACACTTATTGTTAGTCACAAATAAACACTTCTTAACTGCAGAAAGACATAAATATTCACCTGCCTACATTAACACAAGGAGCGTGCTCTGGTTACAAAGAATAATATTGCTATATAAATACATGTAAGTACCACCTGAGAGATTACAGCACATAACTATTATGTATATATATATATATATATATTTATATATGCAATTACTACTAAGAAATTACGGAATAGCAGTATTGTATATACATGTAATTCCCACTGACAAACAGAATTTTATACCTGTATTTAATACTGAGAAATAAGAGCATAATGTATATACATGTAGGTACTAGTGGGAAATTGCAGTACCAGTTTGTTTGTTTGTTTTGAATTTCGCACAAAGCTACACGAGGGCTATCTGCGCTAACCTTCCCTAATTTAGCAGTGTAAGACTAGAGAGAAGGCAGCTAGTCATCACCACCCACTGACAACTCTTGGGCTACTCTTTTACCAAGGAATAGTAGGATTGACCATCACATTATAATGCTCCCATGGCTAAAACGGCGAGCATGTTTGGTGGGACGGGGATTCAAACCCGCGACCCGCAGATTGTGAGTCAAGCTCCCTAACCACCTGGCCATGCTGGGCCTATAGTACCAGCATTATGTGTGTGTGCACACAAAAATCAAAATCATTCATAATGAGACTAAAAAGCAATCAACTCCTAACCCGTAACTGATTCTCTATAGCTGCTGACTAGTTTGACATCTGCATTTGGATCTTGTCTTATAAATGGAATATCACCAATTCATTTGGGAGCTATGACCACAGACATTTTCTGTCATAAGTTAATGATGATGACAAAAACTGGTAATGGAAAAAAAAATATTTTTTTTCAATCTCATTGTGAATGTTTTTGATTTGTATTAATTTCATTATTGTTATATAGTGCTTCTTTGATTACCTATTTACAATTGTTTATTCATACACATACACACTAGTTGAAGGTATCCATTAAGGGAGCAAAAAGTGTATAAAAAACTATGCAAGATAATGTTTCCCTTTCTTATTTCTATTTTATTAAATCCCTAATGACCTCATTAGATGCTAGTTGTATATCCAACTTTGTAGAAGGTAATAATTGACTCATTTAACTGATTAAGTACTTGTGTCTAAATTCAAAGCCAAAAGTTTATTTAAAAAATGAAAATATGCCCTATTTCAGGATGTTTTTATACCCTTTTTCGGGTAGAAATCCAAAAAGTAAAATAGCTCATATATACTGTGAAACAGTATCTAGTTACCACAAAAAACTTATGGCAATAAAACAAGCCAACTGTGGGCGATAGAAATCAAAATTCTCTATAATAGTTTAAATGTGTCTCATTTCAGGGTGTTTTTACCTCCCTTCTTGACAAATATCCTACAACAAACTAAACCTGTACACTGATGGACAGGTTCCACTTTTAGATAATAAAGTTAAAAGATGGCTTGTATGGGTAAGGAAAAAACTTTAATAAAAGTAACAAATGTACAACATTTTGACAAGGTAGTCTCTTGAAACTTTGTATATTTGTCACTTATGATAGAATTTTTTTTATCACCAATTCAAATCAATCAATATGTGGCAGGAATTTTGGTAGTAGATCCTCCGAGGTGAGCCTCTCGTGATGGTGGTGTGGGCTGTACTTGAAGTTTTGTGGTTTCAGCTAATTTAAAGATTGTGTTGACATGACAGGTTTGAAGATGCTTCAAGCAGTCAGGAGGAGTCCAGAGAGCCTTGAATAGGGGAAATCCAGAATTCACAAACCATATAACCTATGTGGGACATAGGGTCTTTCAGGGTGGCAGGGATCTATAAATCCAAAGTTGGAGAATTTTGATGGAGGGAGGTGGGAACAGGAGTGCCCCGAGAAAACTCACCTTCACGGTCCAGGTGTCAAAAAAAGTATGCCTGGGACATGCCTGAGCAAAAAAATTGGAACGAATAAGAATGTTGGTGGGAGAAAAGGTGAGAGTGAGAAACATTACATTAGTTTATCAGGATATAGTTGTGATTGGGACGTCACAGGTTTGGAAAGGAACAGTCATATTCGTCATCATTGTTGTTGTAATCATCATAGTAGGTTGGGTTGAAAGGGGAGAAGTTGTCAAAAGTTGTAGGGTCAGAGGATACAGTGGGACCGGTGTCTTAGAGGAAGATTTTGAGAAGGTTGTTTGTTGAACGTGGGTGATGGTGGTGGTTGAGTGTGCGTGGTTTTTCTCCTGGTGTGAGGTTTAACCTGTGTGGTCATGATAGCAAAAGAGGTAGTGTCTGTTGACATAGCTGAATTTCTGGTTGGCTTGATCAGTGGTAGAACTGTTTCTGCTTGTTTGGGTGAATTGGTCGGTAGAGGGCAATGTGGTGTGTAGTGTCTTGAAGTAATTGCAATTATTTCATCGGACCAAAGGTTGTGAAGCTTGTCTATGATTTCTTCTACGGGGTTTTTCAGCTTTAAAATTAAAGTAGTGGTAGAAGCAGCCTTGGCTAAGAATAAGTTCTGCTGTCAGTTTGGATTGTGTAATGATTTTCATGAATTGAGTTGACTTGCCAGTTAATTAGGAGCAGATCCAGTGAACAGCATGCAGCTTAGTGTTGGTTGATTGTTCGATGGATTATTGGATTTCTTTAGGAGTTATGGTGAGGTTGATGCCTCAAATGAACACTCAGAACAGGTGGGTTTTACTTTTCAGGGTTGTGAAGGTAACATGAGAGGAGGAATTTCAAGGACTACAGAGATATGTTAAGTCAGCATGGCTTCAGGACTGGAGAAAAACTTCCACCATCAAAGGATTCTCGTCTTTGTGATGTTGATTCATACTCTACACTTAAATTTGTTAATAAAGGCAATGATTTGGCATAGGGAGAAGTCACTGGGTAATTCATCTAGAATTACCAGAGATACTGGCAGAATCATATGGTGAGATTGTGCAGGCCTATAACAGGACATAGCTCAAAACATGTCTTGCTGGCTGGGCTGCAAGTCAAGGAATCCTTGTATCTTGATGTACTATTGTACCAACTGTACCCATTCAAACTATCTCCACACATTATATATACTTGTAGTTACTAATGAGAAATTAGAGAATAACAGATTATATATATTTGTAGTTACTACCAAGAGATTAGGGAATAACAGATTAAAGATACATGTAGTTACTACTGAGAGAATAGAGAATAACAGAGTATACATACTGCTGAGAGATTAGAGAATAACAGATTATATATCCTTGTAGTTACTGCTGAGAGATTAGAGAATAACAGATTATATATACATGTAGTTACTGCTGAAAGATTAGATATTAACAACATTACATACATAAGGTGATTGTACAGAAAACCCCACAGTTAAAATGATTATATTTTAAAAACAAATTATTATAGAGGAATTCTATTTTACCAAAGGCACCTTGAGAATCACAAATCTTATTACAGAAGTTTTAACATAGCTTATAACATAAACATTTATATATAAAGATTTGATTATTTGTTTCTTTGAATTTTGAGCAAAGCTATACAAGGGTTATCTGCATTAGCCATCCCAAATTTAGCAGTGAAAGAGTAGAGGGAAGGCAACTAGGCATCACTTCACACTCCCAATTCTTGGGCTACTCTTTTACCAATGAATAGTGGGATTGACTATAATGCCCCCATGACTGAAAGGGTGAGCATGTTTGGTGGGATGGGGATTTGAACCCGTGACCCTCAGATTACAAGTCAAGCACCTAACCACCTGGTCATGCCAGGCCCGAACAACATTTTAAATTAATGCCTTTAATCAGCTGACAAAAGAGCAGAAACTGTTCCATATACAGATCTATAACATCCTTACCCACACGATGAACAAAAAATGAACTGTTAAATACAGATACTAAAATTAATGTTCTTAACCAGACGGAGAACAGAACACAAACTGTTAACTACAGATACTAAATTAGTGTTCTTATTCAACTGAACAGCAGATTACAAATGTTACATACACAGATACTTTTTATCATCTTTAAATCATGTTAGTTAAAGTTTGTTTGTAATTAAGCACAAAGCTACACAATGGGCTATCTGTGCTCTACCCACCACGAGTATCGAAACCCGGATTCTAGTGTTGTAAGTCCGCAGACATATTGCTGTAACATTGGAGGGGTTGTTAGTTAAAGATGTATAATTGGATGAAAGTTTTAAAAATTAACACCAATTTTTAGACCTACCTGTGTCTGTTTGTACATCTGAGTTTGACAAAACTGAATAGCTTGTTGCAGTACAGGAGGTGAAGTATCCACCTAAATAAAGAAATGATTATATGGGAAATATGTGTGGATTAAAAGGTAAATGAATGTTGCATTTTAAAAAATATTTTTATCTAAAATTTTCATGCATGCATCTAAAGGGGTCAGAAAAATCCATATGACATTACTGATGAGCTTATAAGTTCTACCAAGTTATGGAAATTAATTTTGAAAACATTTAGCATACATGTTCTTTTAACTTACTAATGTTAAATAAGTACTGATTTCTTATCCTTATATGTACAAGAATACTCTTCTTGAAACAGAATAAAGGAGGTTTAGGGAATATATAACTATTTATCATTTAAAAAAAAATACTCTTATGCACTTTATATTTTACTTAAGGATTATAATGGCAAATATGACATTGAGAAACATATGAGAAAAATCACTGAGGTAGGAAGAGCATTATTACAAAGGGTTATTGAGTAAAGATGAATTAACAATGTTGTTGCCTCTTCTGGCAAAACAAATCATAAAGATGAATTAACAATGTCGTTGTCTTTTCTGGCAAAACAAATCATAAAGATGAATTAACAATGTTGTTGCCTCTTCTGGCAAAACAAATCATAAAGATGAATTAACAATGTCGTTGCCTTTTCTGGCAAAACAAATCATAATATGTTTAACAAGAAGAATATTAAAACCTGCACAGAGGATGCTACATCAGTCTAGGGTCACTTGGATACTGAAACATAATGGTTAAAGAAAGTGTGTGACTTGGAAGACAGGTAAACAGAAAGTTCACAGGTAGTTATGAGCAAGTTAACATCAGTTAGAAAATGAAGTGTGTGTCAAAGTTCTAAATCTAACCGAATAAAACATGAGTCATATACAAGTGCACCAAAAAATACCTTTTACTTTTCTAACATAAGTAAAGAGCATGCTGCTTACAATACAATGATTCAAGCTTTTGTGATTAAGTTTGCATATTCTCAAGACTCACCTTGGATTAAGTAACATATTATCATTATCTCTTACAAACTTATACTACACACATGGATATAAACAGGAATATTATACATTTTAATATTTTTCTACCTCTCCTAAATTGTACATGGTGTAGGCTTCTTCTAACAGTTCATCAGCCTCTTCAGTGAGCATGCCTGCCTTCTGACAAGTTTGCCAGCTTCGAAATATGTCCAACAGACAGTTAGTCAGCCTCCATTCTTCAGGAGGAGGAGATTCTTGTAGCAAATTGTTCAGTTCATCCCTGTGGACATTTAGATGGTAGTCTGCTGCTTTTCTTGATAAGTATATACGATCAATGTCTCGGAGGTATTTTCTAAGAGAAGAAAACGCAAAAGAACCTGAAGATCAGATCAGAGTGGTAAACTATTCTTTAATGTTGCAAAAGTTTTTAAAAAGACTTTGTGTGAGGACAACACTGCTGCCATCCAAATAGTCAAGAGAAATAATGACACATTTTTCAGAAACAGTTAGCTTGCAAATGGAAAAAAACAAAAGAGATGTCTTATGAAAGATAGAGGTTACAACCCAACTTAGTGTGGTCAGTGGCTCTCTGTAATTTCTATGTGTGTACAGAGACATCTCAAAAGTATATAGACACTATGATGTTTATTCAATAGTCATTTAATTAAGAAAGGCATCCAACGGCTCCCATGGCCAAATCAGTCACCTGATATGAACTCCATCAAGCATGTCTGGGCCATACTTGCTCGAGTAGTGAGAAGAAGTTCTAAAAAACCAGCGTCCCGTGGAGAGCTACTTGATGTTTTGCATGCAGCCTGGGTCAAGATCCTACAGGAGAAAACTGCAGAACTCATTGATTCCATGCCAGAACGAGTCAAAGCACTGAAAAACCCTAGTGTCAAATCAACTAAGTACTGATGCACATTTGTAAACAATTTGTCAAGTTGATAATGGGAGATAAATGACTATTGAAAAAAATCATGGTGTCTATTTACTTTTGAGATGACTCTGTACAGGTATACATAGATGTACAATTTTTGGAGTTGACAGGTTGTATAGAGCCCCCGTTTTTTTTTATTTTCCCACCAAAGTTTCTAGTCACAGATGAGTGCTACATTAATATAAAAGAAAAACGAATTTGCTTGTGACGGTTTTTCAATCCACAACTGAAATTTATAGGATGGATAACAAATTAGAAGGACACAATATCATTCATATGCACAATCACACAACTATAAAATTGACAAAATCAAAAACATAAGAACTTTAAGTAAAATGTTGAATACTGTAGAACATAAGAGAAATAAAAACAGAAAACACTGGCAAATGTAAAACTGGAACTTAGAAAATATGTATTATTAAAAGTGCAACTGAAATAAACAACTGTAGTTCATGTGGTTCGATAATGTTTTGGAAAGAAACAATAAATTTCTCATAACTCATTTTTCTAGAAACGATATAAAATTATTTATAGTTTCTAAACAGTGCTACAATAAAGCATGAAAAGAGACTATTTAACTATTGACTTACTTGCCCATGTCAGGAGTGCGACTTAACTGCAAAGCAACATGCAAGAGTTTGGCTGAATCAGTCTGTTCTTTCAATATGTCCAGCAAAAGACTCACAGAACGATACATGTGAGAAGCAAAGCTACCAGGACGATCAATCTCATCACTGGGAATTCTCCATATGCCCTTTTAATAGAACATTACAGATTAATACAAAAAATATAAAACAAATGTAGATTATTTATTAAAACATAGAATGTAAATGTTAATTAGATCACTTGACAGTGAAAGCCAATATATTTTCTGTAATGGTGTTCTTTGTTATATATTAAAAACATGTTATTCAAAATGGAGTCTAACCATGATATGCAACTTAAGCATTTGAATTACCAATATTATAAGGTAACATTACCAAAATCTGAAATTTAGGCATCAGAATTTCCACTATAACACAGTAAAATTCCCAAAATCTGGAACTCAAGCATCAGGATTACCACTTTTATGTAGTAACATTGCCAAAATCTGAAACTTAGGCTCAGGATTACCACTATTTTACAGTAAAATTGCCAAAGTTTTTAAGTATTCAGATATTATTTAGATTCAGGGAGTTTAATACAAAATAGACTTGGGTTCTTAAATACATGCATTATTTTATGCAGCAGAACGAATGACAATCTTTTAACTTGTGACTGTGTTTTGGTTAGTTATTCAAGAGAAAATAGAACTTTGGCACACTGTTGTGCTAGACACCTGAAACTCTTTGTACAATTCAATGGTGAATGTTTGAAATGTTTTTATTTCTCAAATAAAACATCAAGTTTTACTTCTCAACAAGCCTGTAGTAAATTTGTAAGCTTCAAAATAATCCACACAAAAATCAGTTACTTAAACTGAAATACTACCTTTAAACAAAAATATAATTCATCCTGAAATGCCTAAATAGTTTTAATACCTCTATAATTAAAACAAAGTTGCTTTCTCTCTGTTTATATATACATATGTACTTAAAATTCATATTAAAAGTTCTAGTTTTATTCACCATCACCTTCAAATTTTGCCCCAGAGTGAACAGACAACAAATTAGGTCTAGCACAATACCGAAAAAGAAAAAATGAAGTTAAATAATTAGGGATTTTACTAAATTATCAACATAGCTTATGTTTTAGGACTACAGATGATGCATAATGAAGTTAAATGTGGTCCTAGTTATTAGAAACAAATAAATGATAAAAATGTATTTTTTAATGGTACAAAAGATTACTCTTCTGCTAGATTGGTTACACAATACAACATTTAAATAGTTTCTAGTTTAGTTTAAAGACTGTTGCCTGAAGAACTAATCTAGGAAGGATTATGAATAAACATTTACCTCAAAATCTATACGTACATGGAAATTTACATAATGCACATTTTGTGTGGTCAAGTTAAAAAAATAATTTTATCTTTACTTTGTGCAGATTCTTTGAATAACTTACATGCACTGACTAATTCAGCATGCATAATAATGTCAGGAACTTCACATTGTAGGTAATTCCGATAAAAAAAAACTCAACAGTGAGTTATAATAAATTTGTATTTCACTCAAAAGTATTTAAGTTATTAATAATAAGCTGAAATAATACAATTTATTATTTTTATTATGTTCATTAAAAAATCTGACATCTCTCACCAACAGTCAACAGCCACAGTTTATTTAATTACATTCAGAGCAAGTCTATCTCTGAATGATCAGTGTCCTTTCTGCATTTACATGATATAAAAAAGTTATGAGCATGAAACATTGATGTTTTCCTACCAATGGCACACAGTACAGTTGATGTTTATTAAATGCAGTAGCCTACAGATGTCGTGAGAGTAAGTCTGACAGCAATAATGTAAAAATTACCATATCAGGACTCCATTATTGCAGACATGTTATTGAATTATTACTGATGATTTATTATGACTCATTACAGCCAGCTGATGAATGCAAGACAGATAAAAGGCATTAAACAAATACAGAGTCTATTTAGCTTCAAAATATAAAAGCACACAAGGTGCAAGCAATGTCTGTAAGAATGGATGCACCGAGTAAAATCTAGGTGCATTGATGCATGTATGTTCTATGTAAGTTCTATGTTTTGTATTAATAATGTAGAAAATTCTAAATTGAAAATCTTAACATAAGCTTGGAAAGCTGAAAATATCAAGCTCTTATTACAATGCTATCTTACAAACAGTACAGATTCTGTATACTGTACACAATATCAGTTATGAACAACTGCAGAAAGCAGCAAATCATAGTTGAGTCTTACATTGAAAAAGTTTGTATTCTTCCGTTCTGCAAATAAACCAGGACTTGGCATGTATGGCAGAGTTTGCCACGGAGTGTTTGTTCCAAGGAGAACATCTTGGCTCCACTGAATGTTCTGAGAGATTACAATAAAGATCTTGATTAGGAAAAAACAATTAAAACCCAGTTTTAATTAATGTAATCATACAAGTTGCATGCAACTCATAGAAAATATCACAAACAATATCGAAAGAAATCAAGCATTTAAAAAAATATCCATGGACAGATAATGATAATTTATCTTTATCCAAAGATAGTATTTATTGTAAAAAGACAGACAAACCTTTACACATATTTTTCTGGGAAGAGAAGATACTTACCTTATACTTACTAGATGTACAATAAAAGTGGGCTAGTCTGTAGAGTGACTTGTAATGCTGTGAGAACCGCTGAAGACAATCCCCAAGAGAGTTTATACATTTGGCTGTTAAATCATGTAGAATTTCTTCCAAACTTTCTCTGCTCTTTGTTCGATTTTCTATTAAAGTACAAAATGTGGTCATTAATTCTTAGAAAACATGTCTTATTTTTTATTAATCCCACATGCATAAGGGTAGTCCATTGAACTGATCCTGTATTGGAAAAATTTGATTTACTACATTTCTGAATTTACATTTATCACATTGGAATTTGATAAGCTTTTAGTAAACATGAAAAGTCTCATATAAATAAAATATCAGATTTTTTAATAAAGTACTTTTTACTAAAGATTTGTCTGTGAATTTACTAAGTCAGTCTGACTCTGACTAGTTCAATGGAAGGTGATTTTTATGTTAAGAATAAAAATACTTTTTTTACCTTACAGTTTTCATACTTCATTTACATAACCTCTAAAACATCTAAAATGAATATCAAGCTTGTTTGTTTGTTTTTTATAAAACTTTATTTTTTATTTTTTCTACTCTAACACTTGTAGCAAAGGTTTAAAAAATATAAAATAAAAGCAAAAATATATTTTTTTATAATGAGTAGATTGTACCAGACAATTAAATTCACTTATCCTAAACAGCTCCTAACAGTTTCATATCTGCTTTCACATAATTATATTGTTTTAATGCTCTTTTGAGTCTAACTACTAAACTAGTGTAACCAAGCAAAAATCACTTGGTAAGAACATAGCATATGTTACTGTAAACAAAGTACCAAACTGCATAATGCAGAATAAATTAAAACATTTCTCTGGAGGATATAAAGAGTTCATATTGTATACCCTGCAGAGAAATTTTTTCATTTATTTTTCAAGTTTTCTTATCTGACCTAATAAATGTCTAATGTTAACATTCCAGTTACTTTCATAACAGTAAGTAAAAAATATACATAAATAGTAAAAATTTCAGTACTTATGTGTGAGTCTTGTATCCTGTGTTGCTGTCAAAGCCTTTAAAAAAGTTCACCCTAATTTTTGATACAGTTGTTCTTAGTACTTTACATAATTTTTATTTATTTGAAATATGCAATTTTGAACACAAAATAATAACAGGCATAAAGAATACAATGCCATATAACTATTATAATTTAACTGACTTTCTGATTAGGATATAAGTCAGTTAAAATAATTCTCTTACCAAGTTTACATGTTCTTATCAATAGCAACAACAAATCTGTATGCTGAATAATCAGAGAAAGACAGCCTTATGTGGAAATCAGTATATTAAAACCTTCTGTTTCTATTGCTTATAAGCAATCCAGTAGAAAATATCAGAGAAATATTGATATATTTAAAAGACAGGATGTGTTAAAATAAGCATGTCATGTGGGTTTCATTTACTTGGATGTATCTCACTAAAGTAAGAAGAGTGGAGGCTACAAGTTCACATTTTAGTTTGAGGGGATATCTACAGTACAATTGTGAACTATGTGGAAAACTTAGAATTTGATGTAGGAGAGAAAGGCAATCTAACATGGACAATTCAGAGATGAAATGATATGTGATATAGAAAAGTGAAGATTGAGAAGTTAACATTTTTCTGATCTGAAAATGTATTTCCAATAAATACTCACCTCTTCACCCAGAAATGCTATTTCCTTGTGTGTCTGCCTATGAGACTTGCATGTTACTAGCCTTGAGCTAACTCCCAGATAAATTATTCATGTGGTCAACACGATCTGTTCTGGTACAAGATGATGTCATCATGGGACAATAGCACTATACCAATAGCAAGGCAACACAACCTCCATTCACAGTAACTTCTCCTACATACTTGCACTCATGATTACTTCATTCTTAGACAAGGCAAAAAACAAAAGATGCAATGGAAGTGGGGAGGATGAGTGGGAATGTATGAAAAAGTATCTATTGGAAATACATTTTCACATTAAGAAAATGTTAACTTCTAAGACAATAACTTTGCATACAGAAAGGCTAGAATCCCACATTAAACTGGTGGAGGGATTGTTACAAAAATTAAACCTAGATTAGCTCCCTTCAGAAAGTGGTCAATGGGAAAGCCCATGGAGTGTGACACTTGATAGCTGGGGCTTCATAGAAGCACACTTGTGGGAGACAGCATCTCATTTCAACCAGGGTATACTCTTTGAGGATGTAAGGGTGGGGAAGGCAAATGTATGTGATGTGGTTAGGCGCAATCAGACCATACAATATGTGTTCACCTTGAATACTGCACAGACTGTGGCTGCAGGAGGAGGGAACATTAGCTGTTTAAGGGGTGACCTGTATTACATTGACAATGTCACCACCATCTTACTTCTCACTACATTGCACTAAGTCCAACTAGTGAGGAAAGGAGTGATGGATGAACCAATGATGAAAGACTGCCAGGTTCATTGATAGAAAAAGTGAAAGGGTGATAGGAATGTGACAAGAACACTACACTATAAGAGAGTCTAGTCTAGTGGGCAATTGACCAGACAAATCCAACACAATGGAGATGGAGGGATGACATCCCTTAATGAGGACCCCAGAGAGGAGTTGAAGAGAAGGATACCCATATAGAAAAAAGGTGAGAACAGTCTTGGCTGAGAGCTTTGACAGCCAGAGCTGAAGCATGAAAAACAGGGGACCAGAAGAGAGGAAGCATGGAGTTCAGAGGGAGTAGCAAAGGTGTCTATGAGGGGTGTGCTCAACCAAGATCAAATAAAGACCTTCAGGTGAGGAGATTACCCCATGTGTAGACTTGTGATCCAGCCAAGAGAGGTAGGCTACCATAAGGTTAATATCCTCTGGCATATGACAAGCAACAAGATGAACCCAAAAGCAAATGGTCGTGGAATGGGTCCCCTTGGCTGTTGATGCAAGAAATGACCATGAAAATGTTGAAGTGGATTGTGACCAAGTGATTCACAGAAGGGGAAGGAATTGGGAACATGGCTGATGAACAGGGAAAAGTTTGAGCATGTTGATGTGATGTGATTGCTCATCCTGTGTTCAAATGCCAGAAGTCATATCCTTGTTCAAAAATGCACTTCAACCCAAGAAGGAAGTATCAATGAAGGAATAGATCCAGTTTGGGAGTTGGTAAGGGAATGCCAGAAGTAGTAATGACACGGCCTACTCACCATAACAATTCCTCAAGGAGAAAGAAGGTTCACAATTGAGGACAAAGGAACCCAAGAAAGAATCCATTGGACCTGCAAGGTCCACTGGAGAAGGTGTGTGTGTGTGCACCCTAAAGGAATGAGGGGTTCTACGGAAGCCAGAGTGAAAGAACCTTCATGCAGAATGAGAATGAGATGTGTAAATCCTGGTTAACAGATACTTTATAGCTCACAGGAGAAGGGTGAACTTCGTGGAGATAAGAGATTAAAAAAATGACCAGATGTAACAAATATTGAGTGGATATGAGAAAGAACTTGGATATCTTGACAAGCCACCCAAACCAAGTAGCCTCCTGCAAAGGAAGGGAGGTGTGAGAAAAGGATATCTCCAGAGAATGGGCCAATAGAAGAGGAATGCACTCAACCCAATGAGTACCAACAGCAGGGGAAGTAAGAAGGGACAAAGCAGAAGAAGTTGAACAGGCTAAGCTGGCAAAGAGAAGGGAACAAACCTCTTCAGAAAACCATTCTGGTGCATGATGAATTGTCTCAAACAAAAAGTGGAGGGAATATAAGAGGGTTGTGAGAAAAAGATGAAAATGCAAAAATGGGGAACCAGACAGCAAAATAGAAGGAAAGGGGCCCAATCTCCAAGCAGTTAAAACAGATAACAAATACACGGAATCTAGAAAGGAAAGGAAGAATGTCTACAAGTCAGGACAAAAGAGTCATGAACATGAGAGAGGTGAGGCATGTGGATGTGAGTGAGGAGTTGTTAGAGAAAGGAAACACAACAAACTCTAATAACAAGCAAGTAGGAAAGACAAAGCAATAGTAAAGGACAGAGACAATAGATAAGAAAAGGAACGTAGCTGAGAATGAAATCTAGAAAGAGAATGAAGGGTTAAGGTCATTGCTCGAATAGAAAGGCACTACCCAAAGCAAATTAGGTTAAATTCTTAGTCCAATAGGCCATTCATGACTGATGTGAAAAAATGTTGATTGAAGGGACAAGAGTAGGAGGCCTAGTAAGCATGTTGTAATTCAGAACAGTTAACGAGCCTCCAGAAACCATAGTCGAAATAGGGTCTGTGTGTGTAACATCATTATTCACACAGAACTACGTAGAACAAATATCTTGAGAATTCAAGATAATAATCAACACTTTAAAAATTAAAGTCAATGTAAAACGAAAGCTAAAGTTTTGTTAAGGAATGCAAATCTCATCAAACTGAACTCAGATGAGAAACTTGAACATGTTTGTTCAATGTTATGCCAAGGAAAAGAATCAAATTATCATGAGTGCAGGTGCATAGAAGGTGTTAGTACACATGGGGGTTGTGTCTCCCTCCTATTAATAGAGGGCTATTGTCACATGATGTCATCATCATTATGCACACGTGCAGTTCATGGTATTCAAGTGAATTTGGGTGGGAGTTAATTCAAGAATGGTGGGATGCAAATTTTATAAATAGAAATGTGAGGTAAATAGCATTTCTGTGAGGTGAGTTAGTTGTTTGAAGTTAAGCACAAAGCTAAACAATGGGCTATCTGTGCTCTGCCCACCTGTTTCTAGTGTTGCAAGTCTGCAGACATACCGCTGTGCCACTGGGGGGCAGGAGGTGAGTTATCATCTCAGAATATATTTAGATAGTTCCCTTTGAAAAAAAAATTAAACTTATATTAAAATTTGAATTATAAACTATGTTTTGATGTCAAGTTTATTGATATACATTGATAATAAAGTTGCTTAATTAAATTTTGAATGTAAATCTGTAAAAGGTTTTAAAATGCTCACTTTGACCCCACTCATATAAATACAATCATTACTCCCTCAGAAAATGGTACTATCTATATAAATAATATGGTTGCATTTGTCTCTCCAAAACATTTCTTGCAAATTTCTCAATCAAATGCTACAATTCTCCTATTGTTAAAAAGGCATTTGTCCTTTTTTTTGTAGTTTCTGTTTTCTCTATTTGATTTTGACCTAATTGTACAACAGCAGTCCTTGTATGACTTTTCATCTTTTTCTGTAACTACTTGTTTCTAATCCAGCAAAGAAAGAAATTCTTTATTAATATAAATGCCATTTTGATTGAAAAATTCGTATTATACACAAAAAATTCAAAATAGTATGTCTATAAACATCAATTAAGTTCAAATAATGTCTTACACACACTAGGGAAAGATTATAAAACAAAGAAATTCTATCTCTTAGCAACTTTACTGACTAAGATTCAACTGCATGGGAAATTCAAAAATATTCTCACTTCTGATTATGGGCTTAGAAGTGTTATAGAATACTATGACTTTTTAAAAACTTTCATGTTTACACTTTAATTATTTTGAAAATTGTTCAGGATAATAGTGAACTGCTTTAATGTATTTGTCCATCAACAGTTTTACTTCCACTTAATTTAATTTTTCAGTTAATTATCTTGCATAGTTAATAATACTAACTATATAACACTTCCATATATAGTATGACATTCATTATTAGTTATTTTTTAAATAATTGGTGTTGATATTAAAATAAATAAAAAATATTGTGTGAATAATCCTTACCCTAAAAGCTGACTTGTAATTGATCTAACTAGAATTGATAATAATTACAATTCACTTGTTTAATCTAGTTCACACTATAACAGTTGTTGTTCATGAAAGTTGATAATGTAAACAGCACTTCTACCACTATGTCTGACATACCCCAGCTGGCCTGATGAATCTTGGTATTACACAAAAGGCCTTGTCAGCATTGAATATTGCAGATGTAGTATGGTTGACATATTATAACTTTCACTTAAAAATTCTTAGAAAGACATTAGTTTTTACTTATAACTTTTCTATACCATATTTATGACTGTTGTAATTTTCCTTTTTAAGGCTTATTATTATTATTATTACAGAACTTTTTCAAGGCTTATTGTGCTTAAGTTTGGCTTTTAGAAAGATTGAACATTATTCATTGCTTCCTATTGCCTGCTTCACATATTAAGTGACAGAGGTTAGTTAAAGTAGTAGTTATGTTAGACACACCTCATGGTATGCTGAACATATTGTTTTCTTTGTGTTAAATTCAACATTGTCATATTTTAGTTACAGGACCAAGATTCTAACTATACATTGTACGATTAACATATTAATTTAATTTATTATTTTGTATTTTCCTGTACATTAGTTTTCGGCTGTACTCTTGGTAAAGCCCTGCTACTTGACTTCACACCTATACAGTAACATGTGTTGTAGTAATTTATCTTAAATGGATTTTAATCAGTCACAAAACAGTTTTGGGGAGGAGTTTGTAAAGTACTGTTTATTATGTTGTTCAAAGAATATTAAATCAGCCACAGTACTTGAAGCTAACAAGCTAATGACTGTGCGTTCCACAAATAATGTATACTCTAACATTTCATTATTTTTACTTTCATTAACAGTACTGGTTAGAATATTTAATATACCTAATGTTATTTCTTATTATTATACTTTTATTATAGATTGGTTTTTGCATTGTTAACTTAGTATATTTATTTAAAACTACCTAAATCTCATAAGGAAGGACTGAACCACTTGAGATATTATTGGGATTATGACCAAAAATATAGTTAGTAGTGAGAGTACCGAAAAGTAAAAACAATGCATTCTAATCTTTATAAGAAAACTATATTCAATTAGCTATACTCACTACTAGGTTTATTTTTAATTTCACTCTTGCTCTGATCAGCAGCTAATATTAATTAAGATAACTAGGTCATAGAGATCTTTCAACTTCTAGGACACTTTCATTTGTAAAATCTAACTGTGAAAACTCTACGTTTAGTCTTACTCTGTTATTTTCTTATGTTTTACCTTTTATTAATTTTAGATGCTACAGTTGTGTGAGAAACAACAATATATTTAAAAGTGACTATTATGTATTGCATGTTATATTTTCAGGATTCTATTCTCAGTAAATACACATGATTATATTTCCACTAGTTTTAGCACCAGTAACAAAAAGTCAAGCTTTTTTCTTCTTAGGTTTAAGGCATGTGCTATAAGCATGTATCTGAGTAGACCCTAGAATGAATAACATTATGATACGAAATTAAAGCAAATGATGATTGCAGAAAAATGTATATATAAAACATGAAATGCAATGAAACTATTATGCATGAAATTACCGGAATAGGTTTGACCATTTTCCCCACTAGAAGTAGCAACTTCACTCATGTCCTTTATTGTAACATCTTTTTCCGTATAATTCATTTTGTCATTAACAACAGTCCCCATTTCTCCATCTTCAACCTGAATTTTTTCATCAACAAGTCTCTGTGGTTTTTCTGATTCTGATATAGAAAAAGTTTTCTTGACCCGCTGATCACCAACAACCCTGGTAGCTTCAGTCACCTGTGATGGACATCTCTCACACACAACAGCTATCAAAGAATTTAGTATATCTTTAACAGCTGCAGAGTCCTGTGACTCAGAAGAGGAATCTAAAGAGTTGCGATACCCTCTCTGACTAGCTGTATCAACCTTCGACTGTTGTTGGATGTAATCATGATCCATGGCTGCTGCTTTTTTTACCTTCTTCTTTATCACAGATGGTACAGTATAGTCTTCTGCTTCTGATGAACTTGGTGAAAAGTATCGACTAAAACATCAAAGCAAAATAAGTTTTTAGTTTATAACTGGCAAAACTTAAAATAAAATACTGAGCAATAAGTAATAACTTTGGTGGCAGTAAATGACAGGAAACAGTAGTCTGTTTAATGAAAAATTATTAAAGTGATATTTTTGGTGACAGTTAGTAACAGAAATATTAATGAAAGTTACTTCTAAAAATTCCCAAAACAGTAATATTTTTAATGAAAGTTGCTTCTCCAAAAACCCAGACAGCGATAATTTCAGTGAAAGTTACTGCTACAAAAGTCTACAACAATAATAGTTTTAACAAAAATTACTACTACAAAAGCCTGGAACAGTAATAGTTTTCAGTGTATGTCACTACTACAAAAGCTTGGAACAGTAATAGTTTTCAATGTATGTTACTACTACAAAAGCTTGGAACAGTAAGTTTTTGTGAAACTTAATACTAGAAAAACCTGATACAGTGACATTTTTTCTGAAATTTACTGCTACAAAAGCCTAGCAACAGTTTTTGGAAAATAAATGCTGGAAAGACATAAAATGGTGACAGTTTTAGTGAAATATACTATTAGGAGAGGGAAAAGTCAATCTTTCTTACTTTTCTCTATCAATATCACGTTTTTCTTGATAGTTAGCAAATGGACTTTCTTCTGAAAATTTTATGTGGTTTTGTAAAATAGAAACATCATCTGACGAAATGAGTTTTCCTTCATTCTGTAACAGATACTTCAGAACCACTCCATGAGTCCGATAATAAACCTAAAATTAGTAAAACATATAAAACTCAGTGAAACTCCTTAGTAAAAATTGTTTCAGTTGTAAAAAAAAAAATGTTTTATAAAATCTTAATAATTGAACAGATATAGTTGATAAATTCTACAAGAGCTCAGAATAACTACTACATTAAAATAATTGTATATAACTAGTAATACATATATGAACTTAAAAATGAGTTTTGTGGCAGATGAGGAAACTATCTGGTTAACAATATAGTTTTGGTTACCCCTAAGTTTTGTGGTAGATTGTGTAAATTATCTGGTTAATAATACAGTTTTGGTTGCCCCTAAGTTTTGTGGTAGATTGTGTAAATTATCTGATTAATAATACAGTTTTGGTTACCTATAAGTTTTGTGGTAGATGGTATAAGTTATCTGGTTAATAATACAGTTTTGGTTACCTATAAGTTTTGTGGTAGATGGTATAAGTTATCTGGTTAACAATACAGTTTTGGTTATCCCTAAGTTTTGTGGTAGATAGTATAAATTATCTGGTTAACAATACAGTTTTGGTTACCCCTAAGTTTTGTGGTAGATGCTATAAATTATCTGGTTAACAATACAGTTTTGGTTACCCCTAAGTTTTGTGGTAGATGGTATAAATTATCTGGTTAACAATACAGTTTTGGTTACCTATAAGTTTTGTGGTAGATGGCATAAGTTATCTGGTTAATAATATAGTTTTGGTTAACTTTGGACTACAATTACACTATTCAGTGTGGAATAAAAAAAAACATAACAGTTGCTAAAATTATACTGTCTTTAAAAACAAATTTTTATCTTGAAAAAAATCACCTATAAATTCAAGCAGGAAGTACATCTTGCATTTTTGTCCAAATTATAACCTTATGTAAGATATATTAAACATATACTTCTTTAACAAACCTCTAATGATTCAATTGAAAGTTCTTTAGGGCTGTGATAGTGAATCTTCTTTGGATAGCATGCTCCATCTCTGTGCAGATACGAGGCAGCCTGTAAAATGAATTCTGAATAAAACACCAGGATATATTTCATTCATCATCTCCATTTGAATGTGCATTTTCAAACACAAACCATTAGAACATTAAGATTTCTTGTAAACCAAATTTCCTTAGTTAATATTTCAAATCAACCTGCCAAGTTATATGCATTTCTGAACTTTCCCTTTTCTCATACACAAAATCATAAAAAACATTTCACTACATAAGTAACCAAATCTTTCCAAGAATAATTTTTATCTACAACTAAATGTTTGAATAAGAGCATTTAAACTGAATAGTGCCATACAGTCTTACAGTAGCTAATAACCATAAGCCTGTAAGATTGACTCAGTACTTATAGCCTACTTATGCAGGGATTTTTGTATGATTTTATGTATTCATCCCCCCTTGTTTCTTTACTTTTTGGACTTGCCACCCCTTGATCATACTTAATTTTTACAATTTTTTTTATTACTTGTTTCCCCCTCCTTTTTTTTTAACAGCATCCTTGAACTAGGTTGATAAGTGAACATTTGTTTTATTTTTATAATTCAATGGTAATATATATTGTAAATATCATATCTGTTTTGTCAGTTTCTCCAAGTTTGGATTACACTGGGGGACAGTGAAGCTGGAATGGTTCCTCCAGGATGGTATACAAGTAACCTAGAATGCTGGACTAACATTAACTCTTTCAGCATGGGCTTGGTCCCTGGGACCGACCTTGTAACCATTTTGTGCTTGTTATAGTTTTTCATGCTATAACTTTTTAATTAGTTAGCGAATGTTAACAAAATTTGGCAGATTATCAGTTAACATTACAATGCTTTCATATGCAAAATATAAATTTTTTTATT